GTATAAAATAAATATATCAGACATAAAATATTATGGATTCTTTCACGCCGCAGTCACACTTACAATTTCAATAATAATTTATTTGATGAACCGATTGCTGTTATTCGGGTTTCTTACTGACGCGGCTCACAAACGACTATCATTTCTTTCATATTTTCTATCGACTTCATACAACTGGAACAGGTGGAACTGGAACAACATTCGACTGTATGTTTTATTTTTATATGTGTTACCTCATAACTTCTTTCTGGGTGAACTGATTTTGATGATTCTTTTTTTATTTGAAAATGGTGATTCACATGTGGTCCCATATAAATTTGATCAAGGCCTGGCTAATAGTTTATGAGTTATTCTTAATAATTTATGTTGAAGTCGATTGTAAATTTATACGTGGTAGAGTCATGCTGCAGCTATATTAGTAGTATAGTTGTAGCACGAATGGGTCGGCTCGACCTGGGAAGGACCACGCTCTCACAGAATACCAGCGTAGAATGGCAGCTTGACACTGCTGTGTTTTGTATGGTGAGTGTAGAGAACCGGAGACCCATTTTACTGGAAAAGAGGCATTCCATCTTAGTCCTTACGTGTGACGACGCATCTGCATTTTGATTCCTTATTGAGGATAAATGTAGATGTCTATGGGTCACGGCAACCACTTACCACGACTGTGTGCTCGTTTGTCACCCTATCCTAAAAAAAAATTAACACGTTCACTGTCCGGTTTCCAGACACAATAGTAAGACAATAGTAATGACCTATATGTAGTGCACGGAACAGCGAAAGGGTTAAATTATTTTAACATAACTATAGAAATAGTCTAACAGAAAAAGAATAACGAAAAAAAATTTCCTTTGTTTCGTTATAATAAAACAAATATTTAATGACATTTTTACTTATATATACCACGCTGTTGGAACGTACCTCTTTCCTTCTTAAGAGAATCAACAAAAAATTCAGTGGGATTATTTCTTTTAAATATAATATAAATAATATCCTCCACAACGATTTTCAGTCACGGTGGTAAGTTCTAAATAGACTTACCATCTGTGCAGGACGTGATTACAGTGCACGAGTGTGTGTGCAAACATAAATGCACTCTCTATTCTCTCACTCATAGGCATTCCGATGGGATGGCAACTCAACACGACCGGAGAAAACCGGAGAAATATCTGGCGCAGGACCAGCGACTTTACGTGCTTTCCGAGGAGGTCGAACACCGCTGACTTAATGTTGTAGTATTATTGTATTGCTAGTATTTTTGTTGTGTCAACGTAAACTATCCATCCATGCAAGATATTGTGATATTATGTACGAGCCTTTCGGTGAAGAGTAGTGATGTTCTATAGTACGTACGTAAGTACCAAGGGAGAATATTTTAGTTTAATGACGTAGGACAGGATTATGGATCATGAGTGTGTGCGCAAGCACAGGTGCACTTTTTATTCCCCCACTCTTGTAGTCCAATGAGACAGTAATCCGACACAAATACTGTGAGATCCAATGTAGAACCAATAGCTTCACGTTCTTCAGAGACACAGGGATGAGACACCGCTAAAATCTTGATTCTGGGTTGCTACTGAGATTTTCTTGATAGAAAATCCGACTGATTTTGCACCCGATCACACCTATTACTTTAAGGTCAAAAAACTTTCCTAGGTTGAATTCAGTTTTTCATTAATTTTGTTAGTGTAATTAGGTACTTAATTTTAGGTAAGTATTTGATTGTAGTTATTTTTTTAATTTCAATGACTGTATGGGCAAAATATATCACAGTACCAAGGCTCAGAAGGGCTAGAACCCAGAGCCGTAAAGCCAGTTAAAAAAATATCACAGTACCAATAATTGGTGAGTGAGCTTGTTTATTTAGGACGATCTCTTATCTGTTGTATGGGAAACAAGCGGAATTCGGAAGTGAATTGGGAATGAAAATTACATACGTTTATTGTTTATTTACAATGAAATACAAACGTATAAGTAGTTTGCCCAATTTGTTTCTTGGTTTGTTTGTGGATCCGTCCGTTGGATCGTTTTTGGGTCTGTCAATTTGTTCGTTCGTTAGTGGTTGTCTGAATGAGTAACTAACTGAATGTTTTTATTCAGATTAGTCTCTTTCTTGGTCTTCGCGACATTAGAAATTACAAATTAATCATTATCACTTATAATAGAAAAAATACTTATGACACGCGAACAAACTCGCGGGCACAGCTATTGTCTTAATATTACTTAACATATAATTAACATGATGGTACAGATTTCCGTCTATTACCCTTCATTATTTTTAAAATCAGTATTCACATGATAAAAATTATTCGTGTTATTTTTATCAGGAGCTTACAAAACCCCTGTTGTCATACAAAAATCAGGTCAGGAGATTCAACACCGTACCGTGTCAAGAGGTTATGAAGGTAGTTTTTTTCTATTTGTTGGCCTGAACAGATATAAAAAGTTTTTTTTTTGCAATAACCAAGAACTTTCTACGTCTCCGCTGAATTAACTCTGTTATTAACACGAATATAATATTTTTTTTACATATCAAATATATTTATGGATGGATTTATACTTTGTAGGTGTGTTTTGTATGTGTCTTTTGGATGTACTTCGGATGATATCAGCGCAAAATAGCAGCATAATACTTATGTGTTTTGTAAGGTGACGAGATTCGGAGACAGGTTTTATTCAAAGATGTTCAACATTAATTATCTAAGATCCGTGTACATAACTAAAATAAAAATAATGTGTCTTACCTAATTTGAAGTACATTTTCCACCCACCCACATTTTTTTCTATATAATAAAAGTAAATCAATAAAACTTAAAAATACTAGCAGGCCGATTACTTACAATAAAGTAAAATAGTAAAATTGCAGCCTATGTTCGTAATAATAATAATAATAATAATAAATAGAACCTCGTGAAAGCCGAAACAGATAAGCGAACAAAATATCTGGACCTGGCTCACGAGGTGACCGACATGTGGGGTGGACTGCCGGCCGAAATTATACCTGTAGTCGTTTCTGCGAACGGGTTAATTCCAGTCAGCCTCTCGGGTCATCTGAGGCGACTGGGACTCCGTGACGGACCGCTCCAAGCTCAAATGCAGAAGGCGGTGCTCCTCGATACCGCCCGCATCATCCGCCGGTTTCTTTCCCTTTCCTCCTAACCCTCGGCCGTTTGGTCTCCCCTGCCGAGGGCTTCCATCTGGTTGGGTTTTTATTTATTTATCTATTTTTTATGCATTTATTTTATTTTGTTGATATTTATGTATGTTTATCATTTTCATTTACAATTATATATTTATACAGCCCAACCAGATGAGTAAACTATATAGATGCCCCAAAAATAATAAATAATAAATAAATGGATGATGGATTTAAGAAATACGCGCAAAGGGCCGCTGCCTGGAGGTCGCCAGGGCACGTCTGGAGCTGGCGCTGGACGCGGCAGCATGCGAACCGCCAGTCGACCGCGAGGTGCTGCACGATCACCCAGCAGCCCCTTGCATCCATCATCCCCACCAGCTGGCTTGGTGTTGGCAGGGTCTTCGTTGGCCCAGCAATCAGCACCCGCCACTGGTGGAGTACGCCGCATGCGTTGGTCAATGCAAATGAATAAAAATGCATTGCGGGCGTATTTTGGGGCGAAAGGGAGAGAAATTGGAGGTTTGGGTATCGGGCTAGGATGCACCGACTATTTGCTGAGCTGGAGCCATCTATTACCGTTACCGAGCAAAACCTGGCAGACCGAGTTCGGTACATCATGCGCTCAAAAATATTTGATGACGCCGAACTCGAACGGCTACGACGTGAGGCTATTCCTTTGTCGAATGAAAATGCTACGACAGGAGATGCGGCTCTACGAGTTGCAGAGCAACCCGCACATGTAGATGCCGCCGTAGATCTCCTTGTAGTTGACTCAGGCGACGATGGAATAGTCGCCCCAGAACTAGAGCAAATGAGGAGCATAGTGGAAGAGGCATTTAGGGAAACGCGCAGTACGCCTCTCGAGAATCGACCGCGACTTCCCCGTATACCCCTAAGCAAGCGGAATCGGGCTGTCGTGAGGGCTCTCAACCCAATGCTGGTGACCTATTTGGAAGCCAACCGGGACCTTTGCGAGACGGACTCAATTCTTTTTGGCGCCGCACTGGCAGTTTGCCGTATTATTGGCGCCAAACTTCCCAAGGCTGGACGCGCTACTAGACAAAGTAGCGCCATCCCAGCCTGGAGAAGAAGGATTGAGGACCGTATCGCAAAGGCAAGGGCCCTCATCGGCAGGCTGATAAGCTTCAGGTCGGGCAATAATAGGCCGAGAATTGTGCGCACCGTCAGGATAGCGTTTGCTGGGACAAATATCAGTTTGTCCCAGCCGGATATAACGCAAAAACTGACGGAGCGCATAGACGACCTGAAGCAGAGAATCGCTGCTTGGGGGAAGCGGATTCGGCGATATACCGAGAGGTCGACACGGTTCAACCAGAATCGTCTCTTCCAGAGTGATCAGAAGAGGCTCTATGAATCATTGGAGCGACCAATGGTACGTGGAACGGGCCCAGCACCGAATCAGGCCGACACTATCGCATTCTGGCGCGGCCTGTGGTCAGAGCCCGTAAACCACAGTGAGGGCCCTTGGACGGAAGTTGTGGCGAGTCAGTGTGCGAATGTTACGCCCATGGACCCCGTCATCATTACGCCGGATGACGTAGCTGAGGCGGTCCGTAGGGCCCCGAACTGGAAATGTCCGGGACTCGACGGACTGCATCACTACTGGCTGAAGGGGTTCGTGGTGGGTCACGCTGTTCTCGCCCGACAGTTTCAAGAGGCTCTCGACCAAAAGTTGCTCCCGAGCCTCTTCACTACTGGGATCACTCATTTGGTTCCTAAAGACCGAGATTCCACAGACCCGAGCAAATACCGCCTCATAACGTGTCTACCTACCATATAAAAGACACTGACATCCATTTTGAGCGCGAGAATCACTCGTCACCTGAACTCAAATCAGGTGATGTCACGCGCTCAAAATGGATGTCGGGGCGGTGGTCGTGGAACCAAGGAACCACTCCTCATTGACGCGGTCATTGGCAAGGTGGTTAAACGCAACCGTCGGAACCTCTCCGCCGCCTGGATAGACTACAAAAAGGCATTCGACTCGGTGCCTCATACATGGCTGAGGAGGGTCCTCGAGCTGTACAAGGTTGACTGTACAGTTCGAGACTTCCTCGGGCAGTGTATGGGGCAGTGGAGTACAATCCTTTGTCATCTAGGCGAGCGGATGACGGCTGCGGAGAACCACATAAGGATAAGAAGGGGTATCTTCCAGGGCGATTGTCTGAGTCCAATCTGGTTCTGCCTCTCTCTGAACCCTCTTAGTACCTTACTGGAGGGTTCCGGGAGGGGATTTCAGCTTCGGAGAGGAGGTACAAAAGTGACCCACCTTTTCTATATGGATGATCTCAAGTTATTCGCCTCCAGTCGCTCTCATCTTATGGAATTGCTAAACATCACTTGTGATTTTAGCAATTCTATTAGAATGGAGCTGGGGACGGATAAGTGTGCGGTCCTCCATGTCGAAAGGGGTAGGGTTGCTAACTCTGAGGGCATAGACTTATCTATGCCCATCAACATAAAGACCCTATCCGAGGCTGAAACATACCGATACCTGGGTATGTCACAGAACATAGGTATCGATGAGGCGGACATGAAACGGTCAGTTTGCGGTGTGTTTTATGCACGCTTGACAAAAGTGCTTAACAGTCTTTTGTCGGGCGTTAATAAGACACATGCATATAACGGTTGGATCATGCCTGTTCTCATGTATACCTTTGGCATGCTCAGGTGGACTCAGACCGAACTGAACGCTCTGGACACGCACTATAATGACGTCCCACAGGATGCATCATCCGAGATTGTCAGTAATGAGGCTGTACTTGCCGCGGAAGCATGGTGGGCGCGGCTTTTTAAGCGCGCTTACCATGCATAATCGCGAAGTGTGCAGCCTCCGTAATTACTTTCTGACGAGAGCGGATGATCCATTCTATAGGGACGTTATTTCTTGTGATAAAGGACTTACCGATCTATCCTTAGCCAACAAGCAATGGCAAGACCCGGCAGTACAGAGCATTTCCGACCGGGAGACCGTATGGAAGGAGAAGGAGCTCCACGGGAGGTTCTACAAGGCTCTACATGAGCCTTGCGTAGACACAGTCGCCTCCCTCCACTGGCTACGTTTTGGTGACCTCTTTGGGGAAACCGAGGGTTTTGTCTGTGCGATACAGGATCAGGTTATTAAGACCAACAATTATCGGAAATACATCCTAAAGGATGGCGTCGTCGACATCTGTCGAGCTTGTCGCCATCCCGGTGAGTCACTTAGGCATGTCATCCCCGGTTGTTCGGCGCTTTCTAACTCTGAGTATTTGCACAGACACAACCTAGTAACCAGGATTCGACGCCAGGAGCTCGCTCTGAAATACGGTCTCGTGGATCGGAAACTTCCATATTATAATTACTTGCCGGAAGCCGTGCTCGAAAATGACCGCGCCAGGCTATACTGGAACCGGGCCATCATCACGGACAGGACTATTCTTGCGAATAAGCCTGATATTGTGCTGATGGACCGGGCACAGTCAAGGATATTTTTGGTCGACATTACCATTCCTTATGACGAGAACCTCGTGAAAGCCGAAACAGATAAGTTGACAAAATATCTGGACCTGGCTCACGAGGTGACCGACATGTGGGGTGGTCTGCCGGCCGAAATTATTCCTGTGGTCGTCTCTGCGAACGGGTTAATCCCAGTCAGCCTCTCGGGTCATCTGAGGCGACTGGGACTCCGTGACGGATCGCTCCAAGCTCAAATGCAGAAGGCGGTGCTCCTCGATACCGCCCGCATCGTCCGCCGGTTTCTTTCCCTTTCTCCCTAACCCTCGGCCGTTTGGTCTCCCCTGCCGAGGGCTTCCATCTGGTTGGGTTTTTATATATTTATGTAATTTTTATGTATTTATTTTATTTTATTGATATTTATGTAAGTTTATCATTTTCATTTACAATTATATATTTATACAGCCCAACCAGATGAGAAAACTATACAAATACCCCATAATAATAATAATAATCTTCATTTGCATAAAACATGGTAAATATAGATACAGATGTTTTAGTTGTATTGTGCTCTCATGTTTTGCTATTTTAATATGACATAGCATGCAAATTATCTTTAAATTATGAGTTTAAACAATAAGAAACTTTAAGCAAAAAAGAATGACTTATATGATATTAAAAATTAACAAATAAAACATTATTTCAAATCATATTATACAATGTCAGAATTACAGCACACAAATGGCCAGAATATAATGTCAGAATATGGCTTACAATGTCAGAAATTCGTTAATGTCATAAAAAATTTTGTCAATTAACCAAAGGTACAGTCTATTTTTAAATAAATTCATATTATTTATTGTTTTAATTTCGTCAGGTATTTTGTTGTATATACGTACACACATTGATAAACAGCTTTTACTATATTTAGTTGATTTCGGAACTTCGCTTAGAACTAACCTATTCGGATTTATTTTAAGCCTTGGATTAACATCAGAGGACTTTTTAAATAAAGCTGTATGCTGTTTTACAAATTTACCTATCTCAAATATATATAACGATGGCAGAGTTAGTAAGCAAAGATTTTTGAATCTTGGCTTACAAGATTCTCTTGTTGAGTTACCACATATCGCCCTTATGCACTTTTTTGTGCGATAAATACCCTACGCCAATCTGTGCTATTACCCCACACTATTATACCATATTGGAGTATGGATTTAATATACGCTCGATGGGATATTAGGGCTGTTTTTTTATTAGTAACATTTTTACTGTACGTAGTGCATATACAAAACTATTAACCCTTTTACATAGCTCACCTATATGTATCTTCCAGTCTAAATTTCGATCTATAATCACACCAAGAAATTTAGTTTGTTCTGTTTCGTCAATTTTATTAATATTTAGACTATAATTAGTTTTTATCTTATTAAAATGTATGTAATTTGATTTGTTTAGGTTAACTTTTAAATTGTATGTATGCAGCCAATTAATTATATCATCGATTGTGTTATTTATTTCCTTTTCATGATTATCTAATGAATTACTATTTTTGTGGGATGTTATAATTACGGAGATATCTGCATTTATGATTTGTCGCTAGAGTTATCTCATTTATATATAACAAAAACAATACTGGCCCTAAAACGCTGCCTTGAGGAACACCGTAATTCTTTTCCCTGTACTGGGACGCGAAGAATAGTATTTCATTTCCTACCATTTTATCAATAGCAACACATTGTCGTCGATTTGATAAATAAGATTAAATCCACTTTAGTGCTATCCCTCTAATTCCACACGATTCTAGTTTATTTAGAAGAAAGCTATGTGTGACGAAGTCAAACCTGTAGTTAGTAGGTTTTTATTTATACTAGAAATTATTATTTTTATAAGATTAAAAGTTGCTAGCGTTGTAGATTTCTTTTGTTGGAAGCCGTATTGTTCTTTTTTAATTATGTTAAATCTCTCACAAAACTCCATTAATCTCTTATAAAAACATTTCTCAAAAACTTTTGATATTATGGGTATAAGAGTTATCGGTCTATAATTGTTGATATCATCTTTTTTACCTTTTTTAAACAACGGTTTTACAATAGAAATTTTTAAATTGTCGGGAAATATTCCTGTCGAAAATGATAAATTAATTAAATAAGTCATAATGTCAACAAGTTCGCATGCGCATGCTTTAATTATTTTGGTATTAATTCCATCGTAACCTTCCGAGGCAGTGTTATTTAAGGACATGATCTCTTTATTCACCTTGTCTTTCGACATGGGTTTAAGAATTTGATAATGATATTGTATTATCAGGCGTAATGTTTTCTGTTTTATTTTATTTTATTTTATTTTATTCTTTTTGGAAAACTTACAGCTAACATTAACAATAAATAAATGAATAACAACTAGAAGGCCATTTAAAAGTTTTCACCTATAAGCAATATGAACTTAAAAACAATAATTCTAGTCGGTAAAAGATAAACATCGATTAAGACAAATACAGTAATATAACAAAATTAAACAGAAAAACACTTAACAAAAGAATTTTTGCGCTAAATTATTTTTTAATTGAGAAACACTGGTATTAAACAGATCCAAGTCAACGCTATTGGAAATGTCATTAAAAGTTTTGCATGCACGTATCATAAAAGAATTTTGCCTGTATTTATTCCGGGTATGCGGCACGTGAAGTAAGCGAGGCTTTCTTAAGAGGGTACCTCTTGTTGTAAATCCTAGCTTACTCAGTAGCTCCGGACAGTCAACATTACCATTTGCCAATTTGAAAAGATAAATCATATCTACTATGCGCCTACGTTCGTTCAGAGGCAAAATATAAAATTTTTTACATCGCGAAATGTAGTTATCAGTGTAAAATTGCGTTTTAAATTGCAGAAAACGTAGAAAACGTTTTTGTACTTGCTCAATCCTATCTATATAAATGTTATAATTTGGGTTCCACACTTGAGAGGCGCACTCTAAATGGCTGCGAACAAGAGCGCAATAAAGTATCTTATATGTTTTAATATTATGAAAATCGGTGGAAAATCTCAAAAGGAATCCAAGTGCTTTATTGGCTTTTTTAATTATATTCTCAATATGTGCATCAAAGAAATATCTGAAAGAATCGAAAAATACACCAAGATCCTTTACTAATTGTAATCTCTCTATACTAGTGTTTTGTAATTTGTAGTGAAAGACAATGGGATTGGGTTTACGGGTAAATGTAAGGATAAAACACTTGGACACATTCAAATTTGTTGTGTGAACAATATCGTTCAAGTTCATTGAGATCACGCTGCAGACCAAAGCAGTCAGAAGTATTTGTAATGGGGCATAAAATTTTCATGTCATCAGCGTATAGGATTATTTTGGAGTAAGTAAAACAGGAACCTATATCATTTATAAAAATCGCAAACAGCAATGGACCTAATAGCGATCCCTGCGGTATACCTGAAGGGATTTGCTTAGTTGCTGATGTGTAACCATTGAGTACTACTGTCTGACAACGATTCTCAATATAAGACTTAAACCACCTAAACAGATCGCCGCTGATACCTACTTCGAGTAGTTTGCTGAGAAGTATAACGTGATCTAAGCGGTCGAACGCTTTACTGTAATCAGTGTAGACTACGTCCACTTGTAAGCGCTTAGACATGATGGTAGTTAAATAGTCAAAACAGACAATAAGGTTCGAAACAGTGGATCTATTTTTTAAAAAGCCGTGTTGATAATCACTGAGTGTTTGTTTGATGCCATGATACACAGACGAGTATACAATTTTCTCAAAGATTTTGGTGAATAAACAGAGCTTGGATATTGGCCTATAGTTTTCTACACGGTCATTTGGGCCTTTTTTATGGATAGGGGTAATAAATGCAGATTTCCAAGTAAGCGGTACTATTCCTTCCTTAGCGAACGTCTGTATATTATTGTTAACGGTATAGTCAAGCTTTTAGCATACTTACTTATAAGAATGGGCGGTATACCATCTGGACCTGTAGATTTATTCAGGTCAATAGAATTTAAGAGCTTAAAGACTTCAGTTTCGCTAACTTGTATCGAGTTTATACCCGACACAGTCTGTGATCGCCAATTATCGGGTTCGTATCGGGTGTCATAGTTACTGCGAATTTGGTGAAAATTACCATTAAAAAAATCGCTAAACATATTACAAATAATATCCCCTTGGTCTGATGATATGTGTCCATATTTCATTGTAGATGGACAAGCGTTTAACGCTTTTTATATTTCACGAAGGACCAGAAGGTCCTTGGCGATTTATTTATGCTGAGTTCTACCTTTTCTATATAATTGTTGAACATTTCGGATTCTAATTGTTTGGCGCGATTACGTAATATTAAGAAAGACTCATAGTCTGACAAA